CATCCCCATGCCAAACAGTGCTTCCGACTGAACACCCCCGGGTAAGATGGAGGCATATTTCTTCTGTGTCTGTGTGCATCATATAACAAACATAATGTATTACTTTAATCTTATCACGTCCCTTACGTTAACGTCTAAAGTGAAATATTTGATATTTTCTCCTTTAGTTTATGTTTCTGTCATTAAATAATTGACTATTGATGGAATGTTAGATGTGCTTATCAGCCACAGACGTACAATATGTAGAAGTAGAAGTATGTGGCAATAGTTATTCACTTAAAAGCTTCTTATGTAAAACTTTAATTTGCGCAACCTTATTACAGCGAAAAATGTTAAACGCAACAAGATCCAAAATTTAAATACCACCCAAATATACACGTTGACAGTATCCTTAATCACATGGTAACTAAGTCCCGCTTCTTAAGTCTTGGTTTCTAGACTTTTAGTGGGTTGTTTTTCATAAACAACGTTTCCTTTGATTTTACCCTTTTGCATTAACGATCCTGTAATTTTGTTTTCCATTTTTCCACATGATGCACACTTTTTCGGTCACGTTTGGTACCGAAGATATTATTTTAATTTGTTATTACATTTACATGATCGACTTAATAGTTTCACTGGGCGTGCCTTTGTTTTAATAGAACAAGAGGAACGGGACAGCTGTGTTGCTATGACGATAATGGAAGCATCATGAATATGCTGACCTCGTCCGGTGGTGGATCACTACAACGTTATCACTACTTCGGTGATACAGATGACGCAGTTCCGTATCTGTCAAACATTGTTTATGATACGGCCCCCTACTACCATTGTTGTGCGTATCCTCACCTTTTTCAGTCGGATGTTCCGAGTGAGTGTTACAGATTTCATCAGAGACGTACGCCTGGAAACTGCAATGAGTATGTCCCAAATACGCCAGGTAAAGCAACGTCTTTTATATTTATCAATTAACTTCCAAATATCTATATCCTTGAATTCTATATATCAAATAACACAACATTCCCAGTTGAAATATAAGCTATATTCTTGCTATTTTCCATTCTGTAAATGCTGGTGGTAAACAATTGGAAATTCTTCACTTTAATTCTAGTATAGAACTTCAACAATACCATGAGCAAAAGGGCACAACAGAGTAAAATAGGGCTGAAATATTTTCGACTCCTTACCAGCTGCACATGTTTGGGAATTTTTGTTTTTTTACCATATTTGGCAAAAAATAATCATCGTTTAGCCATAAGTTTTTTTGTTTGCGCTGCTTTGAAAAGCAAGTGTTTTTTTTTGGCTCTCTTTTAGCTTCCCTAAAGTCGATTTTGACAAAGCTGAATACGGATGTATCTCTCATAATTAATGACATTTTGAAGATAATTAATGGCTTATTTTATAATCAAAGATGGGCAATCTAGTCTTTGTTTGCGTATGACATTATTATATTCCTCTTAATTTCCAATTTATCAATTTTAACAAAATAAATCTATAAATATTTCTGTCTCAATAACATTTTATAATGATTTACATTTATCGATGATAAGATTAAACAAGACTCAATGAACCACGAATTTGTCCAACTTAAAATTCACCGCTACCTTAGGTTATAATAGATGAACAAATACAAATGTCATAAAGTGCATCCTATGGTATGGTATGTATATTCAGTTGCGTCCTCATTTAGAGACCTTTATAATATTTCAGCACAAAACTTTGGCGATCCCCATTTTGTGACACCGGATGGTCTGTCTTACACATTCAATGGAGTAGGGGAGTTCACATTATTTAAAACGAAAACCAACACTTTCATAGCTCAGGTCAGGATGCAGTCTCTTGGTACCACCGGTAAGAATTGCCTTTTTT